GGGAGTGTAAAGAGACTGGGCCGAATGGGTCCTAGTATCTTCTTTTGTAATATCTTTTTTTTTCTTGTTGGCTAATGGGCCTGTTATTTATTTTTGTTTAATCTCTTTATGTTACTGCCTAGCTGGCCACCCACTTAAGGGCATACTTGTCATTACTCTAACATTCATTCTTAATAAAAAAGGATTAGAGGAGAAAGGGAAGATAATTCGAATCTTCTTCTTCTCCCTTCTCTTTTCACCATCTTCTTCTCTTGTACTGCTGTTCTTACTTCTCTTCTTCCTTTTTCCCTCTAATCTTCAAATTTACACCTAATATTTTAGTACTGATTTACATCTGGTCAGAACCAAAGGTGTGTGTCTAAGTCACAGTAGTAATAGGGAGTTGATTCTCCTGAGTAGCCATGTTTGCCAATAGTGAGCTTTCTTGTACCTTGCTGTCCTGACTTCTTATTCAGATCTGAACCTTGCTTCTTATTCAAATCTTGAGCCCATTTTGTCTTCCCATGAAGATCCTAACGTGTATCACAGGTGTGTCGGGGTTTTTGGCAATGGGTGCACCATAGTTTATCTTTGTCATCCACCCTTATATGAAAGTCCCCCTTCTTAAAGATATTTCCCCCACTTGTAGTAACATTCCCTTTCGCTGCCAATACAACCGCATCCTCTCCAGAATTATTCATCAAATTCCTTCTGCTTTCCTCTGACTGTACTAATGCATAAACCTCCTGGACAGATGGAAGATCCTTGCTGCCTAGGATCTGGACTCTGATAGATTCACATACAGGACTCAAGCCATGGAGAAAAGCAAACACTCCTTGTTGGGAAACAAGTTTCTTGTACACTTTTGCATCTTCATCACACTTCCAGTCCACACTTTGATAATGATCTAACTCCTTCCAGACAGAGGTCAAGTCTGAATAATACATAGAAAGACTCTTCTCCCCCTGTTTACAAGTAGATGATTCTGCCTGTAACTGATAGATTTTTGCATAGTGACGTAGCTCAGAATAGGTTTATTTTGTCTGTTCCCAAGTCTCATAAGTCGTTTCAGCCCACATAAAGTTCCTTCTCACTTGAGGTTGCATAGACACTAAAAGTCAGGACATGGCCATGTTGTTTTCTTGGTTCCATCTATCATACTTAGCACTCCCAGAATTAGGTTCTTTAATTCTCCCATTTATATATCCTATTTTTCCCCCTGCAGTAATGTATAACTTGATCCCTCTCGACCATTCTAAATAATTTAAGCCATCCAAGGGGATAAAAGCTATGGGAAAGGACAGATCCACACCCCCACTTATTCCATTCTGCATTGAGGAAACACTGGATATTGCAGAATCTTCACCACTCATGATCACAGTTTCAGACCACTCTTAAAGTGGGCACAAAAACTTAAAAAGAGCAGTCTAACACCAAGAAAGAAAACACCTCCTTTTCCCTTCTGAAACTCAGCTCTTTAATAAAAAAAAAAAAAAAAAAAAGTAGTTGTTACAGCACTAACAGGTTATCTCTTGACCTACAGAATCAAATATAGCTGTTGTACAGCACTAACAGGTCATCTCTTGACCTATAGAATCAAATACGGCTGCTGTTGCAGCACATACAGGTCATCTCTTGACCTACACATCAAATATAGTTGCTGTCGTAGCATGTACAGGTCATCCCCTGACCTACAAGTTCATCATAAAGGCTGCTGTTGCAGCATACAAAGGTCATCACCGACCTACAGCCTACACAGGGATCAGCAGATCCCACAAAAAGGGAAAGAAAGGGGTGTTGATCACCTCACATCCAACAATCAGACCTAGAACAGGTTCTGTCCTGGGACATGACCAGAAAAAAAAGGAAAAAAGGAGGAAGGGAGAGAAGTTACTTCAGTTCGTTGTAAAAAAAATTGGATCTTCAATAACCCAAACAGTAGCTGGCGAAGGAAGATCTGATAGTCTGATGCGGAAGAGGTTCACTCGATCTCTCCTTTCAGATCTGATAGTCCCACTTTGATACCATGTTATACAGGAGAGAAGAGAGGAAGAGAGAAGAGAGATTTGAGAGTCAAAAGATAAGGCTGGCGGCACCAACTTTTAGTATTTATACTAGGGCGACAAAAGATTAACCGAATACAATAGTACCACTACATCAAATTAACCCATACTTTTAGTAAAAAATAAAAGGAGGAAAATACAATAGTACCCCTTCGGTACTGTACTTAAAGATTAACCGAATTTTAACACATATTTCTTGGTGATTCTCTTGTATCTTGGAAATGTAAGAAGCAACAAATTGTTTCCAAGTCATCCACTAAAGCAGAATATAGAGCCATTTCCTCAGTGTGTAGTGAGATTATTTGGCTCCAGTCACTCCTACATGACCTTAATATTGCTAAATCATCTCTTGTTCCTTTATTGGCTAACAATCTAAGTGCATCACAATTGCAGCTAATCCTGTCTTCCATGAAAGGACGAAGCACATTGAAGTGGATTGTCATTTTATAAGAGATCTCCTTACTATCGGCAGATTTCATTGCTTCATGTATTGGCAAATATTTTCACAAAGGCTATGACTAGGGCCAGTCATTCCTTTCTAATGGACAAACCGATGATAGTGCCACTACATCAAATTGAGGGGGAGTGTAAAGATAGAGATAGTGAGGGCTGAATTGTAATTTTGCTTCTTGTTGCACCATTCGTTTTCTATTCTTTTTACCTTGTACATTACTTATTGTATTATAAGGACAAAAGTGTCTTTTTACATATTTTAATATAAATAGCCCCTTCTTGGTGTGGTCGACACATTAGACACCCCCAAATCTGCTGTGTTCTCTCTTGTACGAACTACATTGACAGCCTACCCCTTGAAAGACTCGTATTTCATGTATTGACAGTCCACCAATACGATACGATACGACAGATAGGGCGTATCATGTCAAAATTTTGAACCTTGGAAGCACCACCCAACAGTTCCATTCACTCAACATAAAAGACATTTTTTTAAAAAACATTCACTTACTTTAAACACAACAATGTTAGAAGTTAGAACAAGCAACATTTATGTAGCTAAGCAATCAAGGCATTAAAACTATGAACAGAAAACATAAAGTAGTCCTGATATTTCAAAAAACTGGGTAGAATGCCTAAAGATGGCATGAAATGACAAGGAATAAGTTATAATGGACCTACAAAGAAAACTTGTCACTCATCTATTCATATTGAAAAGAGATCAAGACAGGTTCTAATTTCTAAAATCTTAGAGAAACTTACTGTAAATTGATCCGGACGACGATTCTGAGATGCAAGAAAATGAAGCCTCATAGAAGCTATTTTATCATATTCTTTATAGAGCACATAGCATGTCCATATTGAAAAAATGTAAGACATCACCAAATGCACCCAAAACCTGTATAACAAGAAAAAAAAAAAAAAGATCAATCATTTGACAGTAAACAGAGATGATGTAAGTATCCAACACATCCATTAAAACTTGTATAGAAGGAAAAGACCAATCATAAGACAGTAAAAGGAGTCAATATAATTATCCAACGCATTCCATTCATGATAGTACACAAAACAAAGCCACTATGATACATATGCAAAATCATACCAAACCCTTGAAGAAATATGGGAAAACAATAAAATGACAGCCAGGTTGAAGAACAAAATCCTCTTTGTACACCACACCAGAATTGCAAAGTGGACAACAAAGCCCAGAAAAAAAGGATTGAACAATCACAAAAATGAAAAACAAGATGGATGAGTTGAGAAAAGGAGAAACATAAGAAAGATTACAAGAGAACATTAACTAGTATTCTAGCGACCATACTATCACATCTTTAATTGTTACCAGATCTACTTCTCTATCAGATTGTTTAGCTTATTCTATCAAATGATTAACATCATGTAGCTACTTTTCAATTGTTTCAACCAAAGAAGCAATGAATGTCTGGTATTCTAATATCCTTTTTTATGAGCTTCTAATACCTAATTATTTTTACCACTGTTCAAGATTGAATTTTCTTACATGAACATTACAATAAGGTGACTACTTGGAGATACTATATTTGGCCATCTACTACTTTAAATAAACTTATGAGGATTTAAAAGGAGGGTTGATTTGATAAACTGGGGAAAATCCCCTACCAAAAGATAAATTTATAATAGAAATTAATATGGAAGGGTATTTTCTTTTCAAACATGTATTTTTGACAAAGTACAAGGGTTATGTCCCCTTTAGCAAAAGTAGGATGTGCTTAAGAAAAAGAAATAAATACTCTTAAGCTTCAACTAAAAGTAAAATAAGATTACATAAAGTCATAATTTGACTCTTATAAAAATTCAAAAACATTGTCTAGATCAATTTGGGACCATAAATCACAAGGGGTGGTGTAGTAGTTATTCCATGAAATTTACTAACTTTAACATCCACATGCATTTGGATCTCATTTTATTAGCACATCAATAAACAAGGATGAGAAATTGAAATCATCTAAAGCAAAACTGTATCATGGCATCACTTGAAGCCACTGACATTTTTAAAAAGAAAAGAAACAGGTCTTGGCATCTGAACACGTGCATCACAAACTTGAAAAATAAACACCAATGTTTGTTGTTAAGATAAAGTTCAAGAACAGGAAGATGTTAAGCACCCAGATCCATCATCAATGAGACAATTGCCCATGTCATTGCACTATTGCAGTCCCTTGAACAACTCTTTCAAGTTCTGACCTGGAACAAGGGTTAAGGTTAATCCATTCAAAATAGAAGTAGTGGCTCAACCATAAATATGTATATTTTCTGCTGAAGTGAAAAATCAAGTCCAAATGACCTAAAAGAAAATTGGCAAGATTAAGCACTAGGGGAAGTGACAAAAGATTCATTCCTTATAATGGCCTGCTACATTTTAAGTAACCAAGATCAATTTATACAGACCACTTAAAAATTTAACTCAACTCAGCATCAATCTCAACAATTTGGGGTTGTCTATATGAATCATATCCCACCTTTCCAATCTATCAAGAGCCATATTTCCTATTAAATAGATAGCCCTTAGGTCATTTCTTACCACATCAATCCAAGTTTTCTTTGTTCTTCTCCTTGCTCTTTTGGTCCCTTCTACTTTCAACAGGTCACTCTTAGTGCAGTCATTAATCATCTATGGACATAGACAAGCCATCTCAATTGAATTTCCGTCATTTCCAATTGCTCAGCACTTTGCTCAATATAATATTGCTAGTCTTCTAGCAACCTTATAGAATGTTTCTTTTGTCTCATTTGTATGTATGGGTCATAAAACAAACCAGATAAACTCCTTCATTTTATCCAACCTAGCTCTAATCTTATTTCTCTCTCATTACAGATAATCAATTCAAGGTAACAAAAGTGATCAGTTTGATCTTAATTACACCTCCATTTTTAGTACTCTTTCCACTGAAATTGCAATACATGTTTTTTTGGGTCCATAGCATCTATCAATCATTCTAGCTTTACATTTAGTCCATCTTTACTCTTGTCAATCAAATACTATATCATTAACAAACAACATAGACCACAGGATATAAATGTTTAGTTAGTTCATCCATTATTAATGCAAACAGATTTATGCTAACCTTGGGTGTAATACATTATAATTAGAAACTTCATCTGTCCTACAGGTGTCATTCAGAGATCTTCTCATCATAGCCAAAGCTCAGAAGCAGTAAGAAAGCCATGCTAATTTGGAGTTGCATACCTTTTGCTATCTGCTGGAATTTATGTAAGGAAAGAAATAGAAGAGTTTTTGAAGATAGAAGAAAAACAGTCTTTTGAGAATAGATGACTGTTTAGAACAGATGCAGAAATCAAAATAAAATAACGGAAATCATTCTTCTAAGGAAGAGAAGATGAAGAAGAAGATGGCGGCAATAGGGGTTCAGAGTAAGAGAGTTTCGAACCGTAATCTCACTCTTACACCCCTAACACTATTTTATTAAGTTAAACTTTGATAATTTACAGAGAGGCCCTTAGTTTGGGCAAGAAATTAAAAGAACATAACATAGAAAGAATAGGCCCAGAATAAGGCCCATTACAGCAAAGAACATAAAAGATAAAAAAGGATAAACAGCCTATGGGCCATTCGGCCCATCTTCTCTACACTCCCCCTCAAGTTGAGCATAGATGT